TGGGCTTTTTCCTTTTCTTGATTGGGATTTCATGTAGCCCTGGTTGGTTTCCAACTCTAGACAGCTGAGATGGCCTTAAACGGTGGTCCTTCTGCCTCTGCCTCTACAGTGATGGGATTACAGGTATAAACTACCAGGATTACACCACTAGGACTAGTTAAATAACTTTTGTTTTTAAATGTTTAAAAATTTTATTTTTATTTTATGTGTACTGTTTTGCCTGCATGTATATAAATGCACCTGTGTCACACAATGCCTGTGGAGGCCAGAAGAGGTCACTGGATTCCCCTGAACTGGAGCTACTGATGGTTGTCAGCCACCATGTGGGGGCTGGGAACTGAACCCAGATCCTCTGGAAGAGCAGACAGTGCTCTTAACTGCTGAGCCATCTCTCCCAAGTCCTATTTTTGGTTTTTCCTGACAGGCTCTTACTTTGAGGCTCTGGCTGGCCTGGAACTCATGCAGGTTGTCAGGCTTGTTGACAAGGGCCTTTATCCACTGAGCCACCTTGCAGGCCCAGCTTTGTTTTTGGACAGGGTATCTCTGCAGCCTCAGCTAGCCTGGAACTTAGTATGTTGCCTGGATTGGCCTTGAACTGTAGGCAACCCTCTGGCCTCAGGCTCTTTAGTGCTGGGTTTACAGATATGAGCCACCAAGCCTGGTTTTTGTTTGAGGCAGTCTCTTTGTGCAACCCAAATTGGCCTTGAACTCCAACATTCTGAGTCAGGCTCCGGAATGCTGGGACCCAGACTTGTCCCGCCAGGCCTGGTGAAGGAGAGAATGAGGTTGTTTGTCCTGAGACAGGGTCTCCCTGTAGTCCCAGCTGACCAGGAACTGGCATCTAGACCAAGCTGGTCTCGAATTCACAGTTCCGCCTGACTCTGCCTCCAGAGCGCTGGGATTAAAGACAAGGGCCCTGAGGCCACAATGAGGTTCGAAAAAAACGCGCTCCCCGCCCACCCTTCACTTGGCCCTAAACCGCCAAGAGCCCCTAGATGACGCCCACTTCCGCCCGGGGCCTCGTCCAGGTCGCAGTCCCACTCGGCAGCTACCCAGGCGGTCTCTTACGCCATCAGCCTGCGCGTCGCTGCCGGCGTATCTGGCCCCGCCCGCGCGGCGGCCCGGCTCCTGTCACCGCCGGCCCGGCCATGGTGCTGGCCTGTGGTTTGTAATTTTGCAGCCTAGACTCGGGACGTGGCGCAGGTCCCGATGGCGGCGGCGGCGGCCCTGGCGGCGGCCGACCCCGCACCCGCTGTGCCGCAGGCGGCGGGCGGCGGAGGGCCGACCTCGCGCCGAGACTTGTACTGGCTGCGTTCCTTCCTGGCTGGAGGTGGGTGTCTGCCGCGGGGACCCGGCGGGCTGGGGCGGGCGGCCGGGGCGCAGGCCTCGGAGACCGTCCACACCGCGCGCTGCCGGCTGCTTATCCCCACCGGCCGCTGCCTCGGCTGATGATAATCCCTGGAATGGTGACAAGCAGGTCCCTGCAGTGGGGCCTTTGTGCCCTCCGGGAAGTGGAAGGACTTTCACTGCATACGCTGTGGGTGACTGTAGAATTGGATCTTGATGTTTGCGTCAAAGGACAGCAAATATTAGAGCTCTCTTGCTATCTATCTCTCCAGCATCTCATGTAGTCCAGGCTGGTCTTTAACTCCTTCTGTAGCTGAAGCTGGCCTTAAACTGATCCTCCAGCCTTTACATTCCAAGTGGTGGGATTACAGTGGTGCTCTGGAGACCAGCCTTTTTGTTTATTTGTTTTGAGAGAGGGTTCTCCCTGTAGCCCCTGCTGGCTTGGAGTTTGCTGTGTAGACCAGGCTGGCCTCAAACTCATAGAAATCTGTCAGGTCATCTGCCTCTCTCTACCGAGTCCTGGGACTAAAGGAGTGCGTCACCAGGCCAGGCTTGAAGGCCAACTATTTTTTTGTGTTTTGTTTTTGTTTTTGGTCTTTTTGAGACAGGGTCTCTCTGTAGCCCCAGCTGTCCTGGAACTCACTATGTAGACCAGGCTAGCCTTGAACTCACAGAGATCTGCCTGCCTCTGCCTCCTAAGTGCTGGGATTAAAGGCCTGCGCCTCCACTCCTGGCCATTGTTTTTTCATTTTTATTTTTATTTATTTATTTTTTGTCTTTTTGAAGCAGGGTCTCCCTGTGGTCCCAGCTGTCCTGAAATTCACTATGTAGACTAAGCTGGCCTTGAACTGTTTTTTCATAAAATTTTTTAAAAATTAATTAATTAATTTAGGTATTTATTTATTTACTCTAATCTTTTTGTTTTTGTTTTTTGAGACAGGGTCTCACTGTAGCTCCAGCTGTCCTGGAACTCACTATGTAGATCAGGCTGAACTGTTTTTTCATTTTTAAAATTTTTTAAAAAATTAATTTAGGTATTATTTATTTATTATTTATTTATTTTGGTCTTTTTGAGACAGGGTCTCCCTGTAGCTCCAGCTGTCCTGGAGTTCACTATGTAGACCAGGCTAGCCTTGAACTCCCAGTGATCCATCTGCCTCTGCCTCCGGAGTGCTGGGACTAAAGGTGTGCACCACCATGCCCGGCTTAAATTTTTACTTATTTTATTTTTACTTTATGTGTATGTGTGTATTGCCTACATGTAAGTAAGTGCACCCATGTCGTGCAGTGCCCTCGGAGATCAGAAGAGGCTATCGGCGGATTCCCCTGGGACTGGAGTTAGGGACAGTTGTTAGCTGCCATGTGGGCACTGGGATTTGAATCGGGGTCTTCTACAAGAACAACCAGTGTTCTTAACCTCTGAGCCATCTCTCCAGCCCTTATTTCTTTTTTTAAAATGTGTATGTATGAGTGTTTTGCCTGCATGTATGTAAGTTCATCCGTGTGTGTAATGCCTGTGAAGGACAGAAAAGAGTGTTGGATCTCTTGGAACTGGAGTCATAGTCATCCGCTCTGTGGGTGCTGGGAACCGAACCTGTGTCTTCTGGCAGTCGCTGAGCCATCTGTTCAGCCTACTAGTAGGATTTTCTGACAGATTACATATAGAGGAAGAAAAGTTGAGGGTGACTCACTTCGGCTTCCGCAAGGATATTGCTGTCCAAATGAAGGCTCTAGTTAGAGCATTCAGCCACTGAGCTACATTCCCAGCCCCCGTTTTGCTCTCTATGTTCAGACAGAGTCTTACCAAGTTGCCCATGGTGGCCTTGCACTTGCTCTGAAGCCCAGACAGACTTTGAACTTGGGATCTTTCTTTTCATTCTGCCTAGTAGCTGGGATTACATTTCTGTACCACCACATTCCTTGAAGCTAGAGTGTTATAAAAACTAAATGAGGGGGCTGGAGAGATGGCTCAGCAGTTAAGAATGCTGGTTGTTCTTGCAGAAGACCCGGGTTCAAATCCCAGTGCCCACATGGCAGCTAACAGCAGTCCATAACTCCAGTTCCAGGGGATCTGACAGTCTCTTCTGATCTCTGCGGGCATTGCATGACATGGGTGCACGCAGGCATAATACTCATACACATAAAATAAATAATTAAAAGAAACCAACAAAACTAAATGAGATTATAATGGACTTGGTACTGTGCCTATAGTTAACTCTCTTAGTCTGGTACAAAGTAGACACTCAGTATTTAAGTGGTTGTTTCCCCAGGTTGGCTTGGAACTTGCTACTTAGCCCAGGCTGGCCTTTAACTCTTGGCAGTTGTTTTGCCTCAGACCCCCAAGTACTGGAGAATCTGAGTACTGGGATTACAAGTGTGAGCCACAATGTGGGTGTTAGTGTCTTCCTCGATCTTTCTCTACCTTATTTTTTGTATTTAAAAAATTGCATTTTCGCTGGGCGTAGTGGCGTATGCCTTTAATCCGAGCACTCAGGAGGTAGAGGCAGGCAGATCTCTGTGAGTTCAAGGCCAGCCTGGTCTACATAGTGAGTTCCAGGACAGCTGGAACTACAGGGAGACCCTGTCTCAAAAAGAACAACAACAACAACAACAAAAATTGCATTTTAAGCCAGGCATAGTGGTGCATGCCTTTAATCCCAGCATGTGGGAGGTAGATCTCTGTGAGTTCGAGGCCAGCCTGGTCTACAAAGTGAGCTCCAGGCCAGCTGTAGCTTTAGGGAGACCCCGTCTCAAAAAGACCAAAAACAATATTGCATTTTATTTTTTGTGTGTTTATGCACATGCACACTAAGGCATGTGTGTGGAGGTCAGAGGACAGCTTGTGGCAGTTTGTTATTTCCTTCCACCATGTGGTTTCCAGAAATCAAACTCAGCCATCAAGCTTGGTGGCAGAGCCATCTCATTGACCCTTGACACTTTTTTTTGAGACAAGGTCTTACTATGTAGCCCTGGGTGGCTTAGCACTCAGTATGTAGCCAGGCTGACCTTGAGCTGACAGAGATCCACCTGCCTCTGCCTCCTGAGTGCTGAGATTAAAGTGGATACCACCATGGAACTCACCAATTGGCTAGGTGACTTACCAGCAGCTCTAGGGATCTGCCTATCTCCAGCCCATTACAGGTAGATGCCACTATGCCCTGTTCTTAACATGGGTGCTAGGGCTCTGAACTCAGGCCTAACCTCGCTCCTCCTGCTTATAGGGCAGGCACTTTCTCCACTGGGCCATCTCCCTAATCCCTTTACTCATCTTTTATAATAGCTCATTGAGTGCTTACTACATGTAAGGTATTGTAGATGTGTTCTTTTGATGGTGGTAATAATGTCACTTTGAAATAGGGTCTCAAGTAATCTAGGCTGGCTTCAAACTTGATATGTAGCTGAGGCCTTGAACTCCTGATTCTCTTGCCTTTGCTTCCTAAGTGCTGGTATTACAGGAGTGAACCACTGTGCCTGGCCCCAGTAGAAGAACCTTCATATGATTGTGGGTTTTTGTGTTTATATGTGTGTTTAAAAATCATTATTTTAGCTGGGCATGGTGGTGCACACCTTTAATCCCAGCACTTGGGAAGCAGAGGCAGGCAGATCTTTGTGAGTTCGAGGCCAGCCTGGTCTACATAGTGAGTTCCAGGACAGCTGGGGCTACAGGGAGACCCTGTCTCAAAGAGAAAAAAAAAATCATTATTTTATGTGTATGGGTGTATTGCTTGCATGTGTGTAAGTGTACCCGAGTTGGGCAATGCCCAAGGAGGTCAGAAGAAGGCATTGGATCCCCTGGAACTGGAGTTAAGGATGGTTGTTAGCCACCATAGGGGTGCTGGGAATCGAACCTGGGTGCTCTGTGAGAATAGACAGTGCTCTTAACTGCTGAGCCATCTCTCTAGACCCTTAAAAATCCTTTTTATTGCATTTTATTTATTTATTTTTGTGTGTGGGCATGTTGCAGAGGTTGGAGGACAACTTGTGGGAGTTGGTTCATCCTTCAACCATGTGGGTTTCAGATCACAGGCTTGGCAGCAACTGCAGCAACACCTTTAGCTGCTGAGCCATCTCTCTGTCTTTTTTTTTCTTTCAGTCTTCTTGAGACAGGGTCTCCTTGTAGCCCCAGCTGACCTGGAACTTGCTATGTAGACCAGGCTGGTCTTGAACTCACAGAGATCCGCCTGCCTCTGTCTCTCAAGTGCTGGGACTAAAGGTGTGCACCACCATGCCGAGCTCTATTTTTTGTTTCTTTGAACTTTTTTAGTGACAGAATCTCCCTGGAGCTCCAGATGACCTGGAACTCACTGTGTAGAGGAGGCTGGCCTCAATCTCACAGAGATCTGCTGCCTCTGCTGGAATTAAAGATGTGTACCACCATGCCTGGTCTTGCTTTTTGAGACAGGGTCTCATTGTGTAGCTCGACTGGCCTGGAATTCACCATGTAGACTAGGCTGTCCTTGAACTCACAGAGAAATGGTCTCACTTTGTAGCTCAAGCTGACTTGGAACTACATAGGTCCATCAGTCAAACTCACAGCAATCCTTTTATCTCAACCTCCCAAAGGCTGGGATATAGTATGCGCCACCATGCCTACCACCGTGGTCACTTCAGAGTCATTCCTTGTTGGCAGCTGGTAGCACTGGGATCTATGTAAAGCCCTTCCATCCACATCTGTGGGCCTGTGGGCCAGGGGAAGCACCAAATGAACATTTGCTTAATTATAAATGAATGATTAATTTTATGGGGAAAACTTGGTTGTTTAATGGAAGACTTGTCTCTTGAAGAAGAGAGATTTGTTTCAAATAGAACTTCCCAATTGGGTAAGTAGTCTTTGTAGCCACAATTCAGTTATTATTTCCCTCTGTTCATCAGATGTTGAGGATTAAACTGCCTTATACTCCTAGAACTTGTTTTTAAGTCACAGAGGATGGAGTCAATCACCTGTATCACCTATTTATCAGCAGTTCTACCCACAGACTAAATTAAGGTTAGTGGGTTGCTGATTGGACCAATCATGATTTTCCTCTAGAAGGAAATGGTTTCCAGCTTCTTTCTGTCCTTCCATCTTTTTTTAGGTATTGCTGGATGCTGTGCCAAAACAACAGTTGCTCCTCTGGATCGAGTAAAGGTCTTATTGCAAGCTCACAATCACCATTACAAACATTTAGGTGAGTTAATGGATGCTAATGATGAAAATGAATAGAAAACTCATCTACCTGCTTTCTTGGTTTCCAGTTGTGAATTATAGTGGAAAGAGGAACACAAGGGGTTCATGGTTAGGAATAAACTTTGCGAGGGCTTTATCTTCTCCCCACTTTAAAGTTTTTAAAAAATATTTTTATTAAGCCGGGCGTGGTGGTACACACCTGTAGTCCCAGCACTTGGGAGGCAGAGGCAGGTGGATCTCTGTGAGTTCATGGCCAGCCTGGTCTACATAGTGAATTCCAGGACAGCTGGGGCTACAGGGAGACCCTGCTTCAAAAGGACCAAAAATTTTGGTATTTTTTTTTTTTTAGCTGAGCGTGGTAGCGCACGGCTTTAATCCCAGCACTTGGGAGGCAGAGGCAGGTGGATCTTTGTG